GAAAATTTTTTTGTGTAAATCATGGTGTATAAAATAAAAATGGATGAGAGGTGTGTTTTACCCTTCTTTCTTTTTTTGGTTTCTGAGAGGACATTTTAAGTGTTAACTGCTCTTTTTCTGTACTGATGTGCATGTTCACTCTTTCCTTTTGTTGTTTGTGTTCTCATTCCCTTCTTCTTTAGACGATGGTAGCATTTGACATGGATGGCAAAGTGCGCAAGCCAAAGTTTGAGCTTGATAGTGAGCAAGTTCGGTATGAGCACAGATTTGCTCCATTCAACAGTGTGATGACACCACCACCAGTGCACTACCTGCAGTTCAAGGTGAGCCTGCTGGGTGAGGAAATGTTTGTACCAAGCCATCCTGGGGCGGGGGGGGGGGCGGGGAAAAGGGGCATTCTTTTTTTTTTTTTTTTAAGATTTATTTATTTATTATGTATATAGTGTTCTGCCTGCAGGCCAGAAGAAGGAACCAGATCTCATTATAGATGGTTGTGAGCCACCATGTGGTTGCTGGGAATTGAACTCAGGACCTCTGGAAAAGCAGTCAGTGCTCTTAACCTCTGAGCCATCTCTCCAGTCCCCAAAAAAAGAGCATTCTTAAATAGGATACAGAGTATCTGTCCTTGTTGGATATGTTAATCACATGACTGGTTTATATTTAAGTCATTAGAATAATTGAGATTTGGCATATGCAGGTTAAGAACTGTGTATCGGGCTGGAGAGATGGCTCAGCGGTGTGAGTTCAATTCCCAGCAGCCACATGGTGGATCACAACCATGTATACTGGGAGTTGATGCCCTCTTTTGGCATGCAAGTGTACATGCAGATAGAACACTCATATACTTAAATGAATAAATCTTTAAAAAGAAAAAAACAATCTATCAGCTGGACATGGTGGTGCTCACCTTTAATCCCAGGAGTCAGAGACAGGAGGAGCTCTGTGAGTTTGAGGCCAGCCTGGTCTATTAAGCAAGTGCAGGACAACCAGGGATATTACACAGAAAAACCTTTTCTCGGGGAGGGGGTAGAGGGTAGAGGGCTCGGAGAAGAAAGGAAAAAAAAAAAAACCCATGTATCACATGGGTACAGAAGTGCTCAGCATTAGCTTTAGAGTCTGTAAGGATGGATAGTCATTTAAAAGGTTTATATTAAATATATTGTGATAAAAAGTCTCCCTCTTTCTTAGGAAATGTCTGACCTCAATAAATACAGCCCTCCTCCTCAGTCTCCAGAGTTGTATGTGGCAGCTAGTAAGCACTTTCAGCAGGCGAAAATGATCCTCGAAAATATCCCCAATCCAGACCGTGAGGTAAGAGTGGGTTCACCGTGTGTGGGACGCACTTGGCTTAAAGCATACGCCTGCCACTAGGTGGATGTTAATTGCTGTAGTGAGTCACCCAGACATTGTCAAATGGAGCCTGTCTTGTTTCTGCCACAATTTCAGGTAAGTCTGCCAACTTAATCGTTCTAAGCCTCTTCCCTCCAACACATGGAGTCTCACTGTTTACTCAGGCTGGTCTTCTAGCTCCTGGTAATCCTCTTGCCTCCTGCCTCCCTGCTCTTAGGATTAGTTTGTGATCTGTCAGACCTGGCTACCATTGTAAATTTTAAATATGAAAATTATGTATCCAGTTACAGTAGAACAGTACTCCATACTTGACCATTTTGACATAAAAGGCTGTTGCATTAAAAAACTGATCTAACAGAACAAACTTTGCAAACAAACATGGCTTAGGGTTTTGATGATTTAAAAGTTTGCAGTATCCCCAGTGTAACTAGGGTACCTCTGCTCAGCACGGGAGTTACTCCTGACAAGTGTGAGTCACGGCGGCAGCACCTGATGCCACTCAGAGTGGTTCAGCATTATCTGTCAGAAACAGCCAGTGCTGGGCTCAAATGACATGTGCTGGCCTGTTGCACAAAGCCTGGGATCTCTCCCTAGCACTTATGTCATTCAATGGAAATTTCATTCAATTATTCAAAGACTTGTTAAGTAGAAAAATAGCTGTTACGGGGTCAGTGAACAGGTTAAATTGTATGTTTTACAGAGTGTAGAACTCTGAAGAAATGGGGTGGGGAGGGAACCCTACTGTTCTCCCGCTTGGTGTTAAGCCTCAGGTATTGTGCACACTACACAAATACCTGTACCACTGAAGTGCATTGCTAGTCCTAACCATGTTAAAGAACCCATTTTAGTAATTCTAGAAGTCACATAGATATCCAGGGATGGGGCCTTCCGGTCAGAGATGCCCCACATGCAGAGAAATGCAGAGCAGACCTGTGCCTGGAGGGTTTGAACAGCACCAGGGACTCACATGGCTGGGCTGCGGGAAGCCAGGGAGGAGCTGTTGGAGTGTGGGCAGTGCATGGATAGATCTGACTCATGGTTAAGGAGCACTGTTACGGCAGAGGTAAGGAAGTGGGCAGCAGTAATCCATGATGAACAGTAATGCCCTCTCTCTGGATCTGAAATCTTCTGGGTTAATTAATTCATGTGGGATATGGGAGGACTCGGGAATAACTTGAAAAGTCTCGCTCGGCCTGAGAGCTGAATGAATTGATTTTCATGTGCAAGATTGTTGTGTCTTGGGTCACGGTGTGGTTTCTGACATATCATATTATTAGTATCATTATTAAGTAATCAATTTTTATTTTTTTGAGACAAAGTCTCATCCTGTGTAGCTCAGACTGCCCTGGAACCCATGGCAGGCCTTTTGCTCAGTCCCTCAGGTGCTGAACTACAGATCTGAACTTGTGTTTTCCATTAGATATTTAAATGGAGCAGCTGCTCAAGGCAAGTGGCTTGAGAACCTATCCTGCCCTGGGCATTTGAAGACAGTGGTCAGAAATGCAACAGTGGGAACCTGGTGCCTACGAGAAACCCAGCAAGGAAACTGATTAGACGAGTCACTGTCAGAAATAACGCCTAATACTCCCAGGACACTCTCTGCCTGCTAGGTGTTTCTAAGTGTTAACCACAGCCATGTCTTCTGACGAGGGTGCGCACTGATAAGTGCAGAGCTAGGCTCTCTGAATTCTGGAGCCACAGTTGCTATGCCCAGCATGAAATGTGCTTAGCTCAACCCTCAAAGCAGTTTTTATAGGATATGCAGTCTTCATCTTCATTGCTAAGGATGAATGTGAGGAACTGGCTGATGAGAGAGCTTGGCCATCAGTGGTGAAGCTGGCGTGCTCATAGGGCTGCCGTGACCTTGAAGGTTCATGATTGGTGGGTGGGAGGTATTTTAGAGAAGCAGGGATCCGTGAGTGCCTGCAGCACAGCTCGGTACCCATCACATAGACATTGGCTGTGATGCTGATGCTTTCTTTTTTCAGGTCAGTAGAATCCTAAAGGTGGCCAAGCCCAACTTTGTGGTTATGAAGCTCTTAGCAGGGGGACACAAAAAGGAGTCAAAGGTGAGTGTGTTGCTGAGAAAGTGAGTGCAGGGTTTTCTATGTACTATTACAGAAAAGGTTACATAATTGGTTAAGAGTCATCCTAGAAGAGGTGGGCCCAATTCAGCTGCTGTGAAGTAAAGCTCACTGTTTTTCCTCAAGATATTCGACACTCAAATTTTCTACTCCTTTTTATTCCTGCTCCCATTATAAATCACTATCTAACGGAGAGCAGTTAAGAAAGTATGAACCAAGCCAGGTGTGATGGTGCACACCTGTGCTAGCACTCAAGTGGCCAAGGTAGGTGGATCTTTATAGACCAGCCTGGTCTATAAAATGAGTCTGGGATAGCCAAGACTACAGAGAAACCCTGTCTTGGAGCGGGGGAAAGACTCTGGGCATATCCACAGAGTAGATACATTTCACTCAGTCTTTACTAGTTTTTGAAATGGTTCATGGAACCTGGAACTCACTGACTCAACTAAACTGGCCGGCCAGCAAGCCCCAACGATGGGCCTGTTTCCACATCCCCAGTGCTAGAATTTCAGCAGAGTGCTATCACGCTCATCTTTTTAACATAGACCCTCACCAACTGAGCCTTGTCCCCAGCCCTAAGACTTTTAAACTTTGTGAAGATGTGGCACTGATACGGTAGATCTGAGTTGTCATGGTGGGGGCTGCTGGTGCAACTTGCAGCATTTGCCTGTTGTATGGCTTTGGCTCTTCAGCTGGCACCCTAGAGTTGTACTGTGCTGCCATCCTGATCTGGCTGAGCACCTTGTCTGAAGTGAAGTCCACTTTCCTTTAACATTCTCTGAAGGCACAGCTGGCCTGGATGTTTCCTGGTGACCTTTATGAAGAACAGACTGCTTCCTTGGTCCTTTCCCTCTGACTTCTGCCATTTGACCAGTTTCTTTTGCACTGCCCTATTTCTGAACACGTAAAGTCTAAAGCAGAAGTGCACACTGCTAAACACATGCAGATGTATTCATTAGCTTTCTGGCTTCCTTCATAGGTTCCTCCCGAATTTGATTTCTCTGTTCACAAATACTTTCCTGTTGTGAAACTGGTGTGAAAGAGACTGCAAACATGATCGTGTGTGCTCTTGGGGATATACAGCAGTGTGCCACACACCGTGACGTAAAGTGGATTTTGTGGATGACAGCTTGTTACAAGGAAGACTCAGTTTAACACCCTTACCTGGCGAGAATGAAAACTGCTGTTTTAAAGTGGTTTATTATACTCCAGGGGTGTAACTGAGCTGGAATGCATTGGTGAACATTACATGGATTTACAGACTTAACTGTAAACTTTTTTAAATGAATGATTAAGTGAAATAGTGTTTGTAAAGGTTAATAAATTTCTTGACCAAAAAAAAAAAAAAAAAGCACTGGTGCTGCTCTTGGGGCCTAGGAAATTCCTGCCACTGTCTGAGCAGAGTGGTGCCAGACTCATCCAAGCTGGCCGCAGCAGTGCCCTCAGGCAGAGGCAGCAGGATCGGGCTTCACTTACCCTCAGCTGTGTGATATGTTTGAAGTCAGCCTGGGCTACATGAGAGCTTATCTTAAACACCCAACAAGCCCAAAAGTTGACCAAAAGAAGTTTCAAAACACAAGATTTATTAAGGATTTAGATTCTGGTAAAATTAAAACTTGATTTTGAGGATTGCTAAAGTACATGATTGTGTGTGTGGCGACACAGATCCATAAGGATCTGTAACCAAGCAGCTGCAGTGCCTGCTGGGTGGTGTCGACAGGCGGAAGAGTGTAGGCTGCTGAGATGTGGTCTCGTTTGAACATGGTGCGCATCTTTGCTGCAGCTGGAGCCTCCCAGTGAAGTGCAGGTTTTGCTCGTGATGCACCAGCCAGAGTCCCCATCCTTGGTTTGCTGCTCATTCCTCTGATTAGCCTGTGGGGTTTCCCTTTTGTATTTTGTAAGGGTACTGCTTTTAGGAGAATGAGCTCTCCTGAAGTTGAACCGCGCTTTGCAGTTTTGCCTAAGACTAGTGGCAGTTCATTTGGCTTCTGGCAGCGATGATCCTGAGATTTTGGTGTCCTGACTCTAACGTAACAGGCTTTGGTGGTGCTGAGAATGCAACCAGGGCCTCACACATACTAGGCAGAGGCTCTCAGGGAGCTATGCCCCAGCCCTGTGACACCCTTCTTGAATCAAAACATTTTGCTAGAAATCGTTTGAAACATGCCTGACTGAAGTTGCTGCAGTGCTAGTGAGGATTGAGGTTAGGCTGTCGCTTACTTCCTGCTCACTACTGAGGTAGTCTGGCTCAACTGTCAAGCATAGCCATCAGGCAGCCAACAGACCCCAGAAGGCAGTTAACTCCTTACCTGTCTTTCTTGTTGAAAAGGAATCAGCACAGCTTATCAGCAATGTCTACACTTTAAAGCAAAGCCAAATTAAGATAGGAAATACTAGGCACTAGAAAATACAAACTCTGCTTGAGCTTGGAGCCCAGAGTAGAACAGTTGTGCAGTAAAAGCACAATGCATCTGAGGGTCTGACAAGTTAGTAAGAATGAGGGACGTGGTTTGTGACATTGGATGGTATCCATCTAAACACAGGGTTGTACGTCAGCACACCAGATCTGGTCAGATGCAACACAGGCAGACAACTTTGAACTGGCTCACTCTTGAGAGAGCGGCACTGGAAGGAGAGCAGAGTGCGACTGTGGTCAGGCTGCAGCTGGTTAGAACCACTGATCGGAGTCAAAAACTACAGTCAGTCCTATACCATTGTCACCAGTGAACTACAAGTCTTTACAAAGAAGACAAACAAACAAACAGCTACTGTGTTCTTTTTGCCTTTGAAGGCATCCCCAGCTTGTAACCTGGGTATCCTCCAGCAGCCAGCCCCCTTTCCTGGACTATTGTATCAGCACAGGTACATGTATCTGGGCCTCTGTCGGTGCAGTGCTCTGCATCCTGTCTGGTGCAGTGACTTACTAGACAGTCTTCCTGCCTCGGCCTTCTGAGGCCTGGAGGTAGCCAGGCGCAGTGGCTATCTTTTACTTATTTTTTGCACAGAACAGCTTTGTGTTGAGGCTTGTCTAAAACTGACTAGTGGTGGTCTTGCTGGCAGTAAGAGCTTAGGCCACTGATGGTGGAATCAAGTGTGTGCAGCAGTGATGAGCTGCTCAGTACCAGAAACTGGCAAGCAACAGCAGGAGGAGAAAGAAGCTGATGTCTGCCAGGAGCTGCCCTGCAGGCTGTTCTGTCCTAGAGACACTGTGGGATGATAGGTGCTGCTGCCCATGCAAGACCATCTCATTTCTCTTGTTGGTGTTGGCCTGCTCAAGAAACACCTGTTAATCAAGAAAGTGTGGCCAATTTTTGAAGACATTTTAAAAGTACATCCAAACTGTCTGAGATGGTCCCATTTTTTTCTTTGCTAAAATGTACTGATTAAACTCCACAATAATGATCGGCTGGTGGACATTTGACTTTGTACATTTCACAGCTGAGTTCTCAGTCACTGGTGAATCACGTAAGATCTCTGTTCAGGCCTGTTGAGGAATATGTACTTCTGGTTGATTTAGAATGTGAAGCTCCTTCTTACTCCCATCGGGTAAGTTTATTATGCCTCTCTTCTGTTCTTCAATATTTAAAACTAAAAATGAAAAACAGTATTCCAGTATTAAGCCTGGGCAGGTCTCCACGCCAGTTTGTAGAATTGTCAGAAACAGAACTTGACCTTCCATAGTAGCACTGCAGCTTGGAATTGTGTTCCCATAGAGAGAACAAAAGGAGCCATGCGTAGAGCGAACGTGCCACAGGACAAGCTGAAGCTCCTGAAAGGGCAGCACCAAGAGCACACACCCTGTCCCAGAGCCACCTGTCTGCAGCTTCCAGTGATGCTGCTACTCCAAAGCTCACCCTACATAGCTGCAGTCTGTAGGCTCCCACCCCGACTGTCCTTTGACACAAATATATGAACACGTCACAAGACTTCACACCAATGTATCTGTCGTGTTAAATCTCTGCAGCATTGAGACTTACAGAGTTGAAGCTATGTCTTCACCTTATCTCCCCGAGGCAAGCAGAAGGTCTTTTTGTTTTTGGTTTTTCAAGACACCCATTTCTCGACACAGCTTTCCTGGCTTTCCTGGGCTTGCTTTGTAGACCAGGCTGGCCTAAAACTCAAAAGAGATCCGCCTGCCTCTGCTAGGATTAAAGGCATTCTCTACCATGCATGGCTGCAAGCTATGTCCTAAGCTGTTTTATCCTTTTGCTTTGCCTTCTCGCTCTGCTGATAGCCTTGCACAAGATCAGAGTGTTTCCCATACTTGTCGTAAAGGAAATCTAGCAGGGTATTATTCAACTGCAGGGCTGTTACACTGGAACCAGAAGGCTAGTGTTGTCAGTCTGTACACAAAGGAAAGAGGGACACTTTGTATTTGCTTAGCATTTCTTTGCTAATGTGTTATCCCTATGCCTCAAAGATGATTACCTATATAGCACATTAATATAATTTTAAAATCAAACTGGAGCTTCTCTTTCTTAAAATTAAATGACTGCCTGTTAAAACAAGTGACATGCTGGATAGACATGGAATTTTGATACACTGTAGAATCAGATATCCAAGTTGAAGGACTTTGTCTTCCAGGTTAGGCCAGAACACTTGAAAACACAATACTAGAGTGAGCTAGGCATGGTAGCCTGTGCCTTTAATCCTGGAAGGCAGAAGCAGGTAATCTCTAAATTTGAGGCCAGCCTGATCTACAGAGTGAGTTCCAGTACAGCCAGGGTTACAGTGAGAAACTTTGTCTTGAAAAGCCAGAAAAAGAAAACAAAACTTGAGTGATAAATAATAAATCATTCCAAGTTATAGACACAAAACAGGCAGGACATTGGCCTAGATGAGGAGGACATTAGTTGGACAGGATGATGACCTGGAGCTGGAGTTATAGGCAGTTGTGGGTGCCCACCTTATGTGGGTCCTGAGAATTGAACTTGGGTCTTTAATTACTGAGCCATCTCTCCAGTCCTGAAATTGTAAATTTTTAAGAATGCATTAAACATTAAGAATTGCTGATGAAGCTGGGCATGGTGGCACACACCTTTAATCCCAGCACTCAGGGAGGAAAAGGCAGGTGGTGGATCTCTTATGAGTTTGAGGCCAGCCTGGTCTACAAGAGTATCCAGGTCAGCCAAGGCTACACAAAGAAACCCTGTCTCAAAAAACAACAGAATGTTGATGAGGTAATGCACAGAAGGTATCTTTGAATCCAAGAGTAAGGTGGAGTAGTACTCCAGTAGTAATGAAGATGCAACACTGGACAGAGGATTTCTGATGAAGCCTAGGGATATTGGACTTGCCCCTCCGCTTTGGACGGGAGGGGATTCGGGTTAGGGCTAATCAGAAAGCTCACTGCCTGCCACTAAGCTCACTGCCTGCCACTAAGCCTGAAATGGAACTCTGATCCACAGGACCCACGTGGTGGAAGAAGAGAACTGACTCACAAGTTGTCCCTTGATTTCTACAATGGCATGCATGTGCCTGCACAAACAAGTATAATTTAAAAGGCCACCCATGTACTGGGTTTGGGGTAGGAGATTTGCATTGTAACTGGCACAACAGGACACAGCATCTAGCCACAAGAAGCTGCACACTTGATGTCCTCAGTGCTTCATGTTAAAAACTGAAGAGCGTCAGGTACGGCAGCATGCAGTGCCCGCACCTCACCTGGAAGACACTCCAGTGGCCTGTATGCCCTCTCAAATGCCCCAATGGCTAAGGCTCAAGAGAACTAGTGCTTAGAGCTGAGCACAGGATGCAAAGAAGCAAAAACCTAAACCTGTAGAAAACTCAGTGGTTACAGGGTAGATGGCATACAACCAATCCACAAAGAAATGTATAAACTGGTCAAACACTGAGTGTGCTTTATGTAACCCAGAAAGGCGGAGCAGAGTGCTGCTGACCTCTCAGGGAGTTAGAGCAGGAAGGAGCCTAGTCAGCTCTCCAGAGGCTCGCACAGCAGAAAACTGGTTCAGAGGCAATCAATGGAGAATCTAATGATTGCGCCAAAACTAAACAATGGAGTAACTCGGGGGTGCCCGGGCCATCTTGTTGGAAAAGCCCCAAATCACTTAAAGTAAACCCTCTGATTTTCTGGGGTACCTTTGTTCTCACCCTGCTTACTGCTACCCTACTTTCCAGGGCTTTTAGAAAACAGTCTCCCTGCACTGAAAACTGTAGTTTTTAAAAATGAAAATCCCAAATTGTTCTAATTTTACCAGTGAAGACTCAGGAGCCAGATACTGGGGCCACAAACTTGCTAGCTCAGAAAAGCAGAGAAAGTACCCAGCTGACCTTTGTACTCAGTTCACTACCCAGGAGGAAAAAGCCTAGTAGCTCACCCAACAGCCTGAGAGAAGAAAGCCAAAAGCTGTAAGTCAAAGAGCTTAAAAGCCAAAGTGCTCAAAGCTCCTTCGCTCCTTCTTCTCCAAGTCTTAAATAATCTCTCAAAGTTCCTCCTTTCTACTTAATCCCTGTCAACTCGTGTTTTTGTTTGTTTGTTTTTCTCCTCCTTTATTAAATCCTGTGTACAGAAAGCCCTTGGACTGAAGGTGTGTGCTAGGGCTGAGCCACACCATAATCACATGTTTACAATATACAGGAAGTTCTTGGATTAAAGGTGTATGTTAAAGTGGAACCACACCAAACAATAAAGAAATTTTTACAGTTCACCATGGGATCAAATATCCTGCAACAACTTGCAGTGTTATTATCAATATTACTTAAAGAAAAGTAAAAAGATGAAAGGTGAGCACTTCATATTCTACTCTTCTTACCATTTATATTTCTGTCATGCCCTGCAAGGACTGTCTGCTTGTCTCTCTCAGATACTGCTTGATTTTCATCCAGGTTGTATTCATTTCCCAGTCTCTGCTGGCTTCCTCCTATAAAACAAGCACACCAGACATAGCTACATTTCATTCTTCTTTAATTTTTTTTAAACGTACATTGGTATTTTGCCTGCCTGTGCATCTCTGTGAGGGTGTCAGATCTTGGAGTTACAGTTGTAAGCTGTCATGTGGGTTCTGGGAATTGAACCTGGGTTATCTGGAAGAGCAGTCAGTGCTCTTACCTGTCGAGCCATCTCTCCAGCCCCTGCATTTCATTCTTGATGTCACTGGAACACCAGCACCAGTACTGGTTGTCACCTAACCTGTACCTTAGAAAACAGCCTGACTCATGGGCTTGCTCCCAGTAGAAATGACATGGAGAGTACTCAGAAACGTGCCCCTTCAACACTCAGTCCATAAAATTCAGCTCCGGTGACAAAACCCTAACACGCAAAGGCTGTGGGCTTCATTCCTAACACACAAAAGCGTTGTGGATTGGATATTAGACTCTAGAGGGCTTCTCCAGCTAGTTCCCAAATAATCCAGAGACCTCTTGGATTTATGAAAGCTCTAAAGCACAGTAACTAGGCAGGTATCAACCCTATAAGCTATTTTGCTATTTCCCAGGTACACACCCCATGTTACTTGCCTTAATTCTTCCTGTGTGGGCTCCTTCTGGAGGAAAGAGCAGCCAGTAAAGATTGCAGAGAAAGCAAACAGACCACAGGCTTCCCTGATAACTGAAGTATGTGTGTACATGGGGAGGCACAGGAGCGCCTTTTTAAAAGGAATGCCTGGAAAATCTCTACTCTTTGCTTTTACTCTGATGTAGCAGCAGCACAGTGTACTTCTCCCTTTACCCTCCAGATGAGGTGGTTACTGATGCCTGTGGAAGCAGGTACACCACAGAGGCCTGGTAGCTTGTCCTCCCTTAGCTGCTACACTTCATTTCCAGTAGTCAGACACTTGAGTGCCAGCAGAGTGGGGGCCCTCCCTCTCAGGAGCATCTTCTTGCTGTAGGTAGGGAGCAAGGCTCTGAGAAGTGACACTCAGTGGGAGGCTGATAAAATGCACCCTGAACTGGAACAACAGGATACTGTTCCAAAGGAAAGGCTAAAAGAATTAAGACACATTATTCAACTCTGTTATTTGGTCCAGCCAGGAGCACAGGTGTCACAAGAGTGCTCCTCACTCCAAGGGATGGAAGGTTCTTTAAGGCAAAAGAATATACTCAAGATACTTAGTTGATCCAAGATTCACTCTTCAAAAAGGAAAGGAAAGGGGGATGCATGCGTCACTTCCTCAGGTACACTCTCATCCATCATTCCTTCCTTCAGTACTTAAACACACAAGCAGGTGGAGATAGACAGGTGGTCTGCCTGCCAGGGGCAACATTTGACCTGCCATGCACTTGTCTTGGGGTGCCACATGCCCTCAAAGTCCCACTGACATTAATATTATTTCTAAAAATTAAAATATTGTGTCTTGCACTACCCTTTCTATTTCCCTGTTGATAGTGAACAACAAATAAACACAAAAAGAGTGAATAAGTCACAAAGGCCATTTGGTGAAATCCAAGATGGGTCCAGTACTGGGAAGATGGAGAAAGGCAAGTGGCTGGCAGGAAGCCTGGGAACCCGCAGAGCCACCCACCTTTCTCAGCAGCATGTTCCTCCTGACCATCCCTGATGACAAGCTGGTCCCGCTCAGGGTACTCAGAGTCCTCCTCAGGCCTGGCCAGCCCGGCAGCCGGTAGACGGGCAGCTGGTGGCTGTATGTTCCGATCAGGGTTCCCTGCTCCCACAGGCATGCCATCCACGGCAGCCTGTTCCTGGACTGCTGCCTTCGATGGTCGCAGACCGTGCTCCTCGCCAATGACATGAATCTCATTGGTTTCTTCTGTGCACAAAACATAGGTATGATTATAAGAGCATTCTTTGTTTTTTGTTTTTACTTTTTGTTTTGGTTTGATTTTTGTTTTTTTGAGAAAGTTCCTCTGTGGATCCCTGGTGGCTGTCTAGGAACATGCTTTGTACACCAGGCTGGCCTTGAACTCACAGATTCTCCTGCTTCTACCTCCCGAGAAAGTGCTAGGATTAAAGGTGTGCACCATGCCTGGCTTCAAGAGCATTTTAACTAAAACAAAAATTAGATGTGACTGGCCATGGAGTACACACATCTATCTTTCGTCCTGTCACTCAGGAGGCAGAGGCAGGAATATCAGGAGGTCAAAGACCAGCAGTGGCTATATCAGTTTGAGGCCAGCCGGGGAGACTCTGCCTCAGACAAGACGGAAGGAAAAAAAAATGGTAACATTTAATTAAGACTGTGTGCAACACACCTATATTTCCAGGATTTAGGAGATGAAGGAAGCAAAGTCAACCAAAGACATTGGCCAGCCTTGAGGCTGCACAAGAGACTGGCCCAGCAATTTGAAGCCAGCCTGGGCTACCCAGGAGCTTATCTCAAAAAAGCAAAACAAAAGCAAAAAAACAACAAAACAAACAAAAGTGTCACCACTGTATTCCTAGAATATTGCCAGAAAGAGTGACTGGTGTGAGTTATATACTTCAGAATATCTGTGAGCTGGTTGGTGTTTTGACCTCTGCTACAGACCACAGGCATCAGTGCTGTGCGTCTTCTTCAGATTAAACAGAAAAGCGCTGGGTATGGTGGTGCACAGCTTTAATCCCAGCACTCAGCAGAGGCAGGTGGATCTCTGAGTTTGAGGCCAGCTTGGTCTACAAAGAGAGTTTCAGGACAGCCAGAGCTACATAATAGACATCTTGTCTCAAAACAGAACCCAACAAACAAAGTCAGAAAATAACATGGGTTTGAGGACCCTGACACCCCCAGTGGCAGAGTGCTAGGCTCTCAGGGTCATACCAAGCCATGGGAGCCCAGGCACACCAGCCATCCAGGGCTGTCTCTCTGCCCTTCAGTCTTAAAAGTCCCCCAGTACCTTAAAGGAAGGCACTTTCCGTACCTGGCCTTACACTGCTGCCAAGGATCTCGGCACTCACCTGACAAGGACCAGGTATAAAGACAGAGTGGAAGCTTGTGGCCCCCAGTTTGGGTCCCAAGAGAAAGTGCCAGGAGCCAGCCCACTGCTACACTCTGCCCTCAAGTGTTTGCAACTGCCCCAAACCATATGGCACTCCTCGATAAATGGAGGACATAACTCACCATTCTGCTCACGTGGCTTCAAGCTCCATTCCTCTGACCTGGGGGCCGGCATCTGGGACTTGTTTCTGGGCACATCCGCTTCCCCTTGTGCAGTCTGTTCCTTTGGCGGGACTACTTGTTGAAGCTTGACCTGAGGCTTGGGCGCCTGAAGTTGGAACAAGCACAGGACTACCAGAGCATTTCATGGGCCCCTCATTACATCTGGCTAAGAACTAAACTCAAAACAGTCATGCCCTGCCACATGGCATGTAGATCAGTAGGCTTATGCGCAAGTCCAGGTCCTCCAGAAAACACAATCAGAAAGGAAATAAACAAGGGGAAAATGTAACGATCTCAATAAACCAACTTACCTGCCACCAAATAGCTACAGCACGTATCCCAGCACCAACACGCGCACCCTGTCCAAGGCACCTAGGACCTCACATGACTAACTAACATCACACAAATGTAAACACATTCTCACACCACATAGAATGGAGCTTGAGAAACTCACAAATATATGGAAATTAACACACTCCCAATGTGTGCATTTCCTTTGGGTTCTCTCAGGAGCTAAATGAGATAAGGGAAGGAGACTATGCAACTGCAGCCCATTTCTACCATTTGGTCACTTGACGGGATATTGAGAAACAGGACATAATCCAGAACACAGGCTAATTACCCACTTCTAGGCCTAAAGGAAGTATGTCTCCCCTCTGTCACATCTTACCAATAATAGATAGCCTGTTTACAACAGTTCCTTTTACTGTGCCAGCATATCCTGTCCCTTGGCCAAGAAAAAAGGTAGAAGACATCCCGTGAGGCAAAAGCCAATCTGGAGACAGGAAACATCAGAACCAGCCACACAGTGATACCAGATTTACCAGGCCATGGATTTGGAACAGAGAGCCCAAGTGGGTAAAGCAGACAATGAGGCAGAGATAGAAACTTCAAGGAAAAAAAAAAAAATACTGAGATTAAAACTTCTATACATAAATGAATTTTTTTGTGGGCTCATGTGTAGACTAGGTCCGGACAAGGGACAATTTCCCAAGTTTGGAGATAAAATATAACCCATGAGAGTGAAAAACAAAGAGAACAAAACAATGGAAAACAATGGACCAAATCTCAAGCACTGTGGGACAACTACAGGTAAGACCTCATATGGCAGCCCTAGACTCCTCATACCCAGGGTGGGAAGGAGGCCATAAATGGCAGCCCTCGTCTTGCAACAACTTCAGAATGTCACACATATGTACATGATCAGATACAAGTCAAGAAACATCTAGATAATCAAGATTATTTAGAATTATCTAGAATTCCTCCAAATTCATCTCAAATACCAAACCATAGACTGAGGAAGTTCAGAGAACCCAGCCAGGATAAATACTAAAAAGGCATATCGTTTCAACTACAGGAAAATCAAAAATTCTGGGAAAGAGCCAAAGGAGAAATATGTGCCTCATAAGGGATGCTTACCAAGAAAGGCCACATTCTAGGCTAACACTACATCTTAGCAAATTTTAACTAGGAACCATATGTCTACTCCTCTATTACTATAAAATTAAACAAGGAATCAGAAGCAGAAAGATAACTGGCAAATCCCCAAATGGGTGGAGATTAAGACACATACTTTTAAATAACACATGGGTTAAAAGTAAAAGTCTCAAATTTAAATCAATTTGGTCATGCCTTTAATTCCAGCAGTTGAGAGGAAGAGGCAAGAGGACCTCTGTGATTTTGAGCCCAGCCTGGCCCACATAAGTTGTTCCAGAACAGACAGAGCTACATAGTGAGACCCTGTCTCAAAAATAAACAATATTTTGGTAGATAGAAATAAGAACGATTTGCTGGGATGTACAGGCTGAAGTAAAAGCAGTGCTTTCTAAAAAGATATTTGTAGCACTGAATGCATACGTGAGAAAAAGGTCTGCATCCAAGAATCAAGACTGTGCCTTTCAGAAGCCATAGAACAAATTAGCAAATTAAATCCAAAGTAAATAGAAGAAAGGCTATGTGAATTAGCTCATAAATCAACTAAAAAATAAAAAAATCATTGAAAGCAAAAATAGATCCTTTGAAAAAGCCAATGTTCTACTATCAGAAGAAGGAGGTAATATTCTGGGCTCTACACTGACCAGGCTGATCCTGACCTCATCTTGACCTCAGTGTGCTCAAGCCAAGTAGCAGCAACATCTTCCACAGGGGACTGAGGCTTGAAAAGTCAAAGCTCTGAGCCTGGGGTCCTTAGTCCGGGCATCCTGGCACCAGGCTTTGCTCTACTATGCCACAAGGAACCAAACCCACAGGGAGAACAGAGACCAGGGTCAGCAGGACAAAGTGCTTAGGAGAGGAGGGTGTACCTCCCAGAAGCTCAGGCCAGAGCAGACCCCACTTACCTGCTGACGGTCGTTACTTTTAGCTGCATCTCTGGAAACTAAGGCTTCGTTTCTCTTTCTGGTGACCTCTTGTATCCGCTCTTCACACTGCTCCTTCACCTCTGTCATCTGGCTGATACACTGGCTCCTGGTGAAAGCAAATGGAAGGACACGTGGATGTCCCGAGCACTCCTTACTGGACCCCACATCAACAGTTCACTGCAGCAGGAGACAGAACAGCCCTTTCCTACCCTGGACATGGTATGAAAAGGGAACTTGCAAGGGCAAGTGTCCATCTGCAAGTAACCATACTTCAGACTCGTTACATTGCTTTAAACAACACCACTGCGCGCAGGCACACACACACACACACACACACACACACGCGCGCGCACACACACGCACACACACACACTTTCTTTAAAAACACTGGCTACCAGTACAAATTCCCTAAAACCCTTGTAATGTCCTGGTGTTAGAAACATCTTCATCCTTGAGCACCTTGGATCAGAACTGTAGCTAAGTTGATGAGATGGTTCGTGAGGTGGAGTGCTGGGGTGGTGCACATTTCAGGATGGGGGTTGAAATATTCAGCTCCACCTCTTCTAGGAGGTAAAGGGGCCTAAAGTTGGAATTTAACCATGTGGCTGATGATGTCATCAGCCATGCCTATATAACAAATCCAGCTACCACCTCTGCACCTTGAGCTTTGACAGCTTCTGGGCTGGTAAACTTCGATGCACCAGAAGGGTTGGATGCTGACTCCATGGCTTGTTGGGGGTTGGTCTGCTGCTATGTATTCTAATTACTGGCCCCCAAGATCTGGTTGTCACCCAGACAAACACATTCCCACATATACCTGTCTTTGTTGTGTAAACTCAAAGTTAATTGGTTAATAAAGATGCTGAAGCCTGTCACTGGGGAGAAGAGAAGTAGGCGGAGCTCAGGTTCTGGGGCTTGTAGTCTGAGTCCGAACAGAAGGAAGTCGCTCCTGGCTCCGTGCTTTTCACAGTTTGGGTGTTTGAAGTAATCAGAAAGAAATGAGGCAAGTCGCTGTTTCGAAAGAATGTGGGTATTCTGTGGGGCCAGCACGTGGGAGACGGCTATCTTCAGCTGCTGGGGACCGCACAGGCAGCTTGACTTTGAGGACGCAATTAGGAAATACTGGACTGTGATCCCAGCCCTTGGGTGGGAGGAGAATCATGAGTTCCAGGCCAGTCTGGGCTATACAAACTCGAGGCTGGCCTGGGCTATGTGGGAAGACCCATTTCAAAAGAAAGCAGGGACCTCTGGCAATGTATTATCTAGTGACAAGGTAAACCTACATTGTCTTATAGAAGGATAAAAGCCCAAATATCTTTTAAATGATGAAACACTTTGAAGCTCCATGAATTTCTATGTGTAAGGAAAGAAAGTGAAAACAGATTAACAAGTGTAGGTGGCTACAGTCAGGCAGCCTGAGAAGTCACTGTGGGGCAAGGTGAGAGGTTTCCGGCCAGGGGTCCCCATGTTCCCCTTTACTCATTGTCTCCTTGGGGGAAAGGGCTGGAAAACTGAGCAGATGGCAGCCTTGTTCTCTGCCTTGAGAAGTGTCTTTTCCCGTCTTGCCAGCGGGTGTAGCCTAGCTTTCACTTTCACTTTCACTTTCACCTCGCTTTCCGGACTACACTCCACTCTCACTGTAAAGCATGCAGAACTCTCAGCAATGAGCCGCCTGCCAACATGCAGCAATGACCCATCAACATCTTGCCCAAACATTCTGGATGGATTTTTTTGTTGTTTTGTTTTTTTTTTTAAGCTCATGCTTGACTTGATATTTAAAACACATGTATTTTTATGTGTGCCGAAGTGTGTGTATGTTCCCCACACATGAGGATCACACGCACAGAGGGTATCAGGCTCTTGGGACTGGAGTTACAGGCATTTGTTAGCTGGCATGTGGGTGCTGGGAACTGAACCTGGGCCCTCTTCACCACTGAGCCACCTCTCCCAAGCCACACCTGGCATTTTTAAAGTGTTCAGACTGCCACATTGTGCTTTAGTTTATGATACATAAATGTTACAGTATAGTGACAGTTCATTTCCTGCTGAGCACTGCTTGTACATGGGTGCCTGTACACAATCATACCTTCCTTACTTAGTCTGTGTACTGAGCCCTGATGGATGACACTTACCAAATAAATACTGATTCCTAAAGGGTGTGATTCCCAGAGGTCTGAGTCCCTTCTCAAATGCTACACAGAGCAAGGTATCAGTTCTGTCACGGGTGAGGTGGCAGAACTCTGTCCTTGGCTTCTGATGTGCAGAACACGGTCCCACCTCCCCAGGGGCCTTATCCTGAGCCACACTCACAGGTCATAGGAGAACTTCTTTTCCAGGCTGGTCTGGTTCTTCTGGAACTGGAAGATGTCTTGCTGCAGCCTGCCATAACTCTTCTGCAGGGCCTTCAGCTGGTCTAAGCCAGAGGGACAAGTCATGTCACTGGCCTCTGTGTGGCTACTGAGCCACTCAGACACACAAGGCCAACAGAACTTAGTCTGGCGGCGGCGGCACATGCCCTCAATCCCAGCACTGGGGGTGGGGAGGGGGAGAGGCGCGGCGGGGATGGGAAGACAGAGGCAAACAGATCTCTGTGAGTTTGAGGCCAGCCTGGTCTACGGAGCTAGTTCTAGGTCAGCCAAGACTACACAGAGAAACCTTGTCTCAGGGGCTAGAGAGATAGCACAATGGTCCAGAGCACTGTCTGCTCTTCCAGAGGACCTGGGTTCAATTCCCAGAACCTACATGGCAGCTCACAACTGTCCATACCTCCAGTTCCACGGATTCTAACACCAACGCACAGAGAACAAAATAATAATAAAAGACATGACAGAACAACTCACAGCCCAAATGGCACAGGAGGAAGAGAACAGCCCCTCCCCTGCCACCGTACCTACTCACGAACACTCTCCCTCCATTGACCCCATTCAAAATGTCTACTAGAACTTTAATGATTAGATCTCATTTATTTGTGTGTGTGCATGTACCGCTGCACATGTGTAGAGGTCAAAGGTCAGCATGGGGGGGGCGTCAGCCTCTCCCCGTACTACGTGGATTTGGGGACTGATCTCAGGTTGTCAGGCTTAGCGGCAGGCGCCTTTAGCTGCTGCACCATCTCACCACGTGCTTCATCTGCACGGCTCGAAGGCAGCTTTATACAAAGCTTTATGTAATCCTCTGTAGTCTGACCTTGGCCTGAGGTTGGGGGTGGGGGTTTTCCACGTGATGGCGTGCAGAGTCTTGGAGTACTGACTATTATTCATCCAATTTCATTGTTCATTTGGTGGTGGGGATTGAACCTAAGGTCTTGCAAGCGATAGAAAAGCGCCTCTCCCGCCACACCCTATACCAGTATTTCTTAAAGGTTTGTAAATCAAAGAGGGCCGAATTATGTCCATCATAACTTGCAATGTACACAGTAATATTTTATAGGAACAGACTGTGTGGGCAGAGACATTAAGGATGGCTCAGTTACAGTGACAGAGCCACCTGAGACCCCGAGGGAGTCAGGCCAGGCAGGCTTTCCTTGAGGCAGTGGCTGGGCTGGTGGAAGGGGCTTACCTTGCAGGTCTCTGATGAGCTTCTCGCTGGTGGTGATGTTATTTACCAAAACCGCCTGCAGGGAAGACAAGGGCTGAGTCAGACAGCTCACCTGAGCAGCAATGCCTTCCAAGCGCGTGTGGAGGAGGAGAGCGGCACACAGCCAGCAGCTGTCCAGCCAGCCATCGGGAGCCACACTTGGCTCTACCACACTGTCCATCCATGGTGAAGGACTGGCTTGAGCATCTGCTTTCCAGTCACCCCTGGAAGAATAATCAAATCAGTGCCTCAATTCCAGCTCCCAAACATCCGTCCCTGCCGGGGGTAGCTTCTTCCTTTCCTGGGCCACAGACTCACATAGCAGCAAGCGCCTGTGAGGGTCCCCAGTGACCCGACATGATGAGGTAGGGAAGAGGCAGCGCACGCTGAGGACTCCTGGTCTGACCATCCTGCCAACGCCTCACAAGCAGCTACTCACTAGCCCTTTGTAGTAGCTGTAGGAGCCAGACAGGTCGTTATCCCATGGCAGGAGACAGGTACAGCTAAGTGGCTCAGTATCATAACGTGCTGAAGAAGAGACAGACAGATGCCACAACACCAGCCACACTCCAGAGAGCAGGCTCTCGGCAGTTGGCCTGCAAGTGGCTAGGAGCCTGAGCAAGGCAAGTTTCCTGAACTACACCCGTGACACTTAACTGTAGGCATTAGTGTGACAGGGGTAAGGACTCCCTCGAGACATGCTGATGTGTTACTGAGTGTTTATCCTGCCAGCTGGCAGGAGCTGTGTACTGAGAGAATGAGATCTGCCCCCTATGTGGGTGAGTACCATCCAGTACCATCCAGTGAGCCTGGTGCTAGGCAAGAACAAAATGGGATGGAGAAGGATTTCTACTGGCACCCGAATGGATATGGGACATGGGCAAGCTCCCGAGTCCCAGCTGTGAGTCTAGAGCTCCGGGGCTTTCTGGTCTTAGGACTCTAGGGCTACTGCTAGCAGCTGAGAAGTACATCATGGTCGTCCCTGGTTCTGGGGCCTTCAGACATGGGTGAGAACTGGTACCCCAGTATCCAGTATCCTAGCATCTCCAGTCCACAGGGAAGCTGGCCTGGGACCACCCAGCCTCCATAATCCCATGAGGTGACTTCCCTGACACGTCCTCTCTCACATCTAACGGTTCAGCCTCCATAGAGGACCCAATGCTGAAAGAAGCAGACACATGAGAGACACAAGGCCCAAACATCAGAGCACACTCCCAGGCAAGGGCTAGTTAGTCACACACAGGATGACAGTGCATTGCCCAGGCAAGGGCTACTTAGTAAAACACACACGGATGAATGAACGTTTCTTACGGCATCATCTCCAACAGAGGAATATTCTACTAATCAACACACTGCTCAAAACACAGCCATTTTCATCCATCCTCGATGGTGAAGTTGCCAGCTCCTCCCTGTGGCCCCTCCCCTCTCCTTCATAAACCTCCTCTGACACAGCCTTTATGGTCCCTGAGGCTTGGGCAGAGGAAAGGCCACAAGATGCACACACTCCTGAGCAAAATGTGGGAACACAGAAGCCTGTGCAGAGAGATGAAAGCCAGCCCTGTGCCTGCTTTAGGAGTCATTTGAGCAATGGCAGTCATTTGGTAATTCCCCAAAACGGTATTAGTAAAATGCCTCTACCAGAGAGTCTTTCCTAGAGACGTGTCTTTTACACAGATGTGGAGGTGGAGAACAAGGGGGTAAGAGGACCCGCTCTAGGAACTGACTTCCTCAGCTCAAAATTCCTGCTGCTTTAGGCAAAAGAGAAAACAAAACAAAAACAACAACAAAAAGCAGGCAAACATTTGCTGTACTGCATGGATGAATCTGTCCTAGAATCCCACAGTCTCTCTCTCTCTAAATAGACATGCAGAAGAATTCAGAAAGAACCCTCTTCAGGCCGGGCATTGGTGGTGCATGCCTTTAATCCCAGCACTCGGGAGGCAGAGGCAGGTAGATCTCTGTGAGTCCCAGACCAGCCTGGTCTACAGAGCTAGTTTCAGGGCAGCCAAAGCTACACAGAGAAACCCTGTCTCAGAAAAAAACAAAAAAAACAAAAACAAAACAAAACAAAAAAACAACAAAATAAGAACCCTCCTCAGGCCTTATCTGCCCACTGATATTCACTGCAGTGAGTCTCACAGCTAAGAGGTGACCTAAGAGCCCATCAGTACAGACAGACACATGCGGCAATGCAGATGGACCTCAGAGACCCTGTGAAAGGGCAGGCCAGTCACAAAAGTAAAATATTGGCTGGACTCCACTCACATGAGGAACCTGAAGTACTGAAATCACAGGGAGAGCCAGAGGAAGGCACTATCCATTGCTGGGGGGGGGGGGGGTGGGGGGTTGTGTGGGTGAGTTTCGGCAGTGGTGTGGGAGGGTGGGGGGGGCATGTGCCAAGTGTAAAGTCTCCATGACAAAGAGGTCCATGGCACAGCAAGGAGAACCGCTGTCCCTCACGGAGCTCACCCTCAGCTGCCATCTCACCTCTGAGGCCTGGGAACTGCGGCAGCATGAAGCTTCCAAGGGCATTTCTGCTTCCACGAGGCTTTTACTCTGCCAAAGATGTCATCTCACCTTCCCTACGAACATGAAAATGGAGCCAGAAAATGCCACCAAGGTTTCTGCATATAATTTTTAACTTATAGAAAAGGTTGATTTATGTTCAAAAAACTAAAAATGCTTCCTAGCTTGTTTGTTTTGAGAGCTGTACTTATAAGGAAGGAAAAAAACCACATCCAACCATTTTTTAAATTCCTTATATATCATACCAGTATCTTGGTCGGCTTCTTTGTGATGTTTTTATACAACCACATAACGTATTTTGGCTGTATTCACCCTACAGTTATTCCCAAATAACATAGTGCATTCTATGCTGAGCACTCAGTTTTTCCTCATATTTTTATTCCGAGTCACACTGGCATGTCCCTGTGCATCGTCGCATCCCCAGAATTAACTGGGAATTAAACTGTTAGTTATCAAAATTTATCCCAGTCATTCTGGCTTGGAAACAAGTTATTTCTGCATTAGATTATTGGAAAACTAGCTTATTGTTTCACAGCAAGCTCTCAAAAGGGCAAGATGAAGGGCTTTGAAGCATGAGGCTCAGAGAAGGAAGCAGACACAAAAGGCCACTGCACAGATCCACAGTATTCCAGCCAGAGTTCTTAACTGCAGTAATCTGTTGAGCAGTCTTTCTGGCCTCGTGATAAATGTTTAGATGGTCAGGTTTACCCCAATTTGATAATATTATTTCTTATTTAATGTTGTTTGCTTTAACTACCCAAATTATTGTTTCAAGATGTACTCTACAATAGAAAGTACTGAGGAAATGTTTTCCTGTCTTCAGGATACACTTCTGAGCTCTCCACACTGCAGTCACAGCACAGCCCACCCACACATTTTAACTGCTCAACAGATGCTTGTGGCCAGGGACAGCACAGAGCCTAAGCGAAAAAGAGCAGGAAGTTGGACAGCAGAGTGTAGACAGACACTCTCAGTGACCACATCCTGCTGAGTTCACACTCACCCCAAACACTCCACCTCCACCACAGCCCCTACAGCCAAACAGGGTCACCGAGTGCACATTTCCGTAGAAACAGGAACGCTGCAGTGGGGCAGCCGGTTAGTTCCGACAACATTCTGTGATTAAGCAAATGCACAGAAAGGTGAGCAATGGCTGAATAGTTTACAGGAAGGAGCTGCTGGGTTTTCAGTGTGGCAGTGGGAGCTGGGCCTATAGAGCGACATTGCTGTCACCTGTCCCTCAAGGCAGGTGCTGCCATCTCAGCAGCCTCTGGTGATTTCCCTGGGTGCCCACAGCCTGGCATGGACTTGACAAAGTCGACTGAACAGGCCAAAGCTGGATGTGGCCTCCTGCTACAATCAAGAGTCACAATACACGAGATTGTGACGCTGCTGCTGGCCCGACATGGTGTGCTCTTCACAGCAGCCTCTGCTGGAGACAGAGTGATGATGTGATACGCACACAGCAAGTATGTAAGCAGCAGCTTCTCGTAGGTTTATGACCTCTAGAAGCCGCACATGCTTGCCTCTTACAGTCAGCAGGGCTGGGGGTTCGCTGTGACACCAGCCCCCACAAACCCTTGAGGGATGTGCTAGAGCGCTCAGGCAACTGGAATTTTCTGCTTCCTAAGTCTTAGGGACTGCTGTTATAGCTCAGCCCTTCTCTGGTGGAGTGAAACAGCCCACACCACTGTGTGTACAGACAGTGAGCTGCCAGAGCGGAAGCCTGAGGTGAGTCAGTGAGTCCATCCTGTCCGTGCTCGCCTGTTTACATTTCTCCCACAATTCTCACACTCGCTCACACACACCTGCCACATTTATAAAAATTAAATGTGAAAGTAAAGTGCTGTGGTGCATGATTTTAATCCCAGCACTGGAGGCAGAAGCAGGTAGAGCTCTGTGAGTTTAAGACCAGCCTGGTCTACAAAGAATTCCAGGGCAGCCAGGACCACATAGCAAGTCCCTGTCTCAAAAACAAACAAACACACAGAGATTAAATCAGTACAGAATAAAAGTTTAAAATGTTAACTACAAGGTGCTAAGATAAATTTTGTTTTCTTAAATTATGAGTAAGGTCAAGACTTTTCAGGACAGATTTTGGCTGGGCATGTGGCTGCCTAGCATGTGAGGCCATGGGCTCACCCCCAAGCATGGCAGAGCAAGTGTGTTCCATTTCACAATCTCACTTGCCAGAGTACTTCTGAGGCCCCTTGTCTTGGGGTTCTATTGCTATGAAGAGACACCAAGACTGTGGCAACTCTTATAAAGAAGACTAATTAGGGCTGGCTTACAGTTCAGAGAGTCCATTGTAATCATGGCGGGGGGTTTTCTGAGGATCACAATGTCCATTTCCTGACAGGAGAGCTAGGCGGCTGAGGAAGATGGGGACAAGAAAGGAAAAGTCAGAGCTTCATATATTTAGGACAAGAGAAGCCTAAAAGCCGGCTGCTCAGATGGCTGGCTCAGGTGTTTCACAGGCCGTGGGACTCCCCTGTCCTTTAGCAGGCCTCT